CATGCCAAGGTTGTCCGCTCTGACAGTTCTGCTGTCCCAGTGTGGGGAGGCCACCTGGCCGTGGCCTCCTGCTGCTGCAAGAGTGATGAGACCCACAGTATTTTGAGGATTTAAAAGTGAATAACCCTTCTTTTTTATTCCTTGGTTTGCATGTGGCTTGGAGGCTGTCTTTCCAATGAAAACGTCCAGAGCTTGACCTGCTCATCTCTCTCCTTGGACGACAGGAGGAAACACCAGCTGAGCCCAGCACCACTCCCCAGGGCTCACTGTGGACGGCTGAGCGCACTGACCCGCAACTGCCACCCTGGCTTCTGGGTCAGGACCCAAGGGGATCAAAGTCAATTCCAGGAAGCCAAGGGGGGAGGGGTGTGACACAAAATGCCTTTGGGAAGACGTAATTTAGGGGGCGTGGGGCTTGGGCTGATGGCCAGTTTTATTTCTGTCACCTTTAAAATTCTGTATTTTTAAAAAAGTATTTGAGGAGAGTAGATGAAAAAAAATCAAAGTCGTGAAACTGTTCAGTGCTGGGTTTGGAGACTTGTGATAAACTCAATGAAACCAATTCACTGATCAGCAGTATCAGTGTTTTCATGGTTCTTAGCTGGATCAAGAGCCAGAGCTCCAGAAAAAGCTGAACGTGGCAGGGGGCATGAGGCAGAACCGTCATCTTCAGACAAAGGGAAGACAGCCGGCCCCACGCTCTCCTCTGGACGCTGTCTCTGGGCCAAGCTGGGAGGATACGCTGCTGGGTTCACCCCTGGGGCACAGAGCTTGGACCTCCCTACCTGCCCCCTGGGCAATAACCCTCAGTGTGGGGACCCAGTGAGGCAACCAGGGACTGAGGTCTCGGTGCCAACAATTATTTCTACTTTTCACTAGGCTTCTTTCTGTAACCAAATTTTATATTTTTTTTTTATAATTTTATATTTTTTAAAAACTGCTTTGATCTAAACACATACTCTGTTTTTAATAAACCCGTAACCTCACAGCCATTAATTTTTCCCCAGTACAAATTAAGTCTCTGCAATCTCAATGAAGACAGAATTATAATAAACGTATAAAAATACAGACATGATAAATATAATTAGGGATAACGTAAGTGAAGATATTATGGGGACTTCCCTTGGAGAAGGGCACCGCAACCCACTCCAGTATCCTTGCCTGGAGAACCCCATAGACAAAGAGAGGAGCCTGGTGGGCTACAGTCCATGGGGCCACCAACACTCGGGCGTGAGTGAGCAACTAACACTTTAACTTCAAAAACAATATCAAAGAAGTAATGACATTATGAGAATAAGTTGTAATAAATAAAACATACAGCTGTGTTCGAGTTCGGAAAGTCACTTCTTCTGGTCTTGCTCACTTTAGGGCCAAGGACTGGCTGACCCCACACCTGCAGTATCAGAGACCTGCCTGATCTGAGTGCGTAACGAAACCCCTGTGATACTATAGAAACAACAAACCCTCTACCACGTACGGGTGAGTCAGGGGAGGCCGGGGCAGGGCAGGACACTGTTATGGACTGAACTGTGTCCACCACCACCACCTCCAAATTCCTATGTTGAAGCCCTACCCCCCCAAGTGTGGCTGTATTTGCAGATGAGGCCTTTAAGGAAATAAACAGGGTTAAATGAGGTCATCAATCCAACAGGACTGGTGTCCTAGTAAGAGAGAGACACCAGGATGTGTGCACAGAAAAGGCCACATGGAGACACAGGGATAAAGGTGTCCATCCACAATTACACCAAGGAGAGAGGCCTCAGGAGAAACCAACCTGGCCGACACCCTGATCTCACACTTCTAGCCTCAAAGCTGCGAGATGATCAACGTCCGTTTCTTAAGCCTCCCAGTCTGTGATGGCTTGTTAGGACAGCCCTGCAGATGGACCCTGACACAAGTCCTTCCAACTGGCCCCAGTGTCCCCAGGCAATCAGAGCTTACCCTGCAGGACCAAGGATGCTTCTGCCTGCATCCGTCCATCAACAGCAGCTGAGTGGCCGGCTTCTGGGTCAGCAGCATTGGGGGGGTGACTCCCACTGCAGAGACCCGGCTGGCGGGGGATTGCCCCCCACGGTGCACCCTTGCCAGCTGAGGATCTGTACTGCTGACCCTCAGGACATGGAGAAGACCTGCAGTCTCCTGAGGGGCCCAATGAATGCGCATCCACTCAGCAGACCTCTGCCTGAGCTGAGACAGGAGGCGGGGAGGAGGCTGGACACCCACTTCCTCCAAGAAAAGGAGGAGAAGACAGAGGCTCAGGATTTCAAACAGCTTCCCCAAGGGCACGCAAATAGAAAGAGCAGGGTCAGCCATCACTCAAAGACTCTCCTCTGAGAGTTTGTGAATATGTATATGGGTATAGCATATGTCCCACCCAGTCAATAGTTACATGACGGAGCAGAAAATGCCAGCATCTGCTCAGTCACTCAGTCACGTCTGACTCTTTGTGGCCCCACCGACTGCAGCCCACCAGGCTCCTCTGTCCATGGGGATTCTCCAGGCAAGAATAATGGAGTGTGTAGCCAGGCCCTCCTCCAGGGGATCTTCCCAATCCAGGGATGGAACCCAGGTCTCCCGCATTGCAGGTGGATTTTTTTTTTACTGCCTGAGCCACCAGGGAAGGCCAGAGAGAAAGTTCAAATGAGAATGTGCCGGGCATGAGAGAAGGAAAGGAAGAGCACAGCATTTCTGCTTTATTCCCAGGCCTGGAGCACGGAGTAGAACAGTCAGGAAGGGTTCCTCCCCCAAGCATTCACAGGGCGTTTATTACTGCCAGGCACGCATGCAGCTGGGGTGCCAACGGCCCAGAGGGACAGGAAGACACAGAGGATACAAGTGTAAGGCCGGGCCAGGAAGGAAGCCCAGGCGATGTGTGCCCGCGGGAACCACCTGGTGCACACGAGAAGCAGCCAAGTCCGGGGCGGAGGGAGGGGGGACCCAGAGCACCGAGGCAGCCCAACCATCTGTCACCATAGGAGCCCACACTCAGCTCAGCGACCCCTCCCTGCACCCGCAGGCCGAGTCCCCTGTCACTCAGCCACCCCATCTCTGGCAAGCATCTCGCTTCCATAAAGACTTAAGAGGCACCACTGTCCTGGGACCGTCCCACCAGCCCAGTGGTTAAAACTCCACCTTCCAATGTAGGGGGCATGGGTTTGATCCCTAGTCAGGAAACCCAAGGTCCCACAAGCCAGAGGGTGGGGCCAAAAATGTTACGGGAAAAGAAAAAAAGCCTGTTCCCTGGACCCTCTCAGGGACCCTGGTTCAGTCCATCACCAGGCCTGGTTCGCAGGCTGGCTGCCCAGGCTCAGAATCACCACCCCCACCCAATCCTTCCGGTAAATTCATCTGCTGGAATTTGCTAGAATGGGATTCTGACTTTTTCAACCAAGAACCCAAACAGACCAATTTACCAGGCTCCCCGGCTAAGAGGAGGAGAAAAATTCTATTCTCAAAGGCAAAGGCCACTGCTGAGGGCAAAGCCTGCCTGAATTCAGCAGCCTTTTAGTGCCCTCAACCCTGAAGGCCAGCCCAGAACGCAGCCCGTAACTGCAAGTTCTGGATACCGCCTCGCGACAGGTTACTAGGGCTGCAGGCCTCCTCTCCGGGCACGTCAGCCTTGCCTCTGTGCTCAGCGGGGGGGTTCCCCAGGGCCACACACGGCCTCCAGGGAAGGCACCGTCAGGAGCCTGGTCCTTCCCCACTCATGCAGTCAAGCTCCACAGAGCTACAGCCACACGGCGGGTCCTGCATGGGGCACCGGGGTCTGGTCTGTGAGGTCCCTGAGCACCTGGAGCCCACACTGGGGAGAGATTTGGGGGTGTGGGTGGACACGATCAGGGCTCAGAGCACAGGCTGCCTGCCTGGCGCCACAGCCAGGAGACGTCCGAATATCCTCCAGGGAACACTGCTGCTGCTGCTGCTGCTAGGTTGCTTCAGTCGTGTCTGACTCTGTGTGACCCCACAGACGGCAGCCCACCAGGCCCCACCATCCCTGGGATTCTCCAGGCAAGAACACTGGAGTGGGCAGACATTTCCTTCTCCAATGCATGAAAGTGAAAAGTGAAACTGAAGTCGCTCAGTCGTGCCCGACTCTTAGCGACCCCCTGGACCGCAGACTACCAGGCTCCTCCGTCCATGGGATTTTCCAGGCAAGAGTACGGGAGTGGGTTGCCATTGCCTTCTCCTGACACAAGCTGAACAGTGAGGACATCAACTGGGATAGGCAAAGAGGAGGCACACGCCTGCCCGAGGCCAGAACCCGGACCATCAGGGCCCAAAGCAGAGCCCGAGATGACAAGGCGGCCCCCAGGGGATTCTCTGCAGAGGAGGTACCCGCAGAGAGGGGCCAGAGCCAGCAGGCCCATGGCCAAGGGCCCCAGATGCTAAGGGAAGCAACTCCACTTTCCTTTCTTCACTTACCCCAGGACTTGTTCTAAAAAGGCTCAGGGCAGGGTGAAGCCAGGAATTCCGCCTTCATTCTGAAAGCCCTGGTGAGCCATTAAAGGCTTTTAAGCGGGGCAAGGCCTGGCCAGATTTGTTTTGGAAATCTATTTATGGGTGAGCTAAGCTGTCAAACACGAATTACCACATCGAAGTTCCTGGGCCATCTGAGCGCAAAAGCGGAGACGGGCCTGCCTGCACCGAGGGAATCTGGGAAGAGCCGCCCTCCTGCACCACGTCAATATAAATACATGTTGACTGCCTACTCATCAGAAATTGGGGACAGCACACGACCTGTGAAGTGGACCCGAACGCATCTCGGCGGCCTCCTAGGGGTTATTACACTGTGAAAATCTGAAACCCATGAAGTCATCAATTATATGGAAGAGCTCGGGAATTCTCCAGCAGGTTTAATGTGTGGGGGAGGGTTTGTTATGTTGTCGGGCCTTTTGGCTTTTTAACTAAGAAAGGTGGGTGACGGCGTGCAAACTCGGGGTGTCCCACAAGAACAAACCCACACCGGTTTGCTTCTTGACTCTGCTGGGCCCCCCGCCCACCTACACGGCCCGGGGCCACAGGGACTCGCAGCGCCTTGTATCCCGACACCAGGACTGGGTCACGTGCAGCAGCAGCCCCCGGGGTGCCATCAGGGGGCGGCAGGGGCACCCCGCGGACCTGTCAAAGCAGCAGCAAGCCGGGCCCACCCCCCAGCTCCTGGGTCAGCGCCTCTGGGAGGGCCCAGGGCTCACACGTGGTCTGGGTGACCCTAGGCCTCCTCCATCAGAGGACCTCTGCCCTCAAGGCCTCCAGCCCCTCGGCCAGGCCCCGAGCTGGGGCCAACCAGCCAGGACAGGTGCGGGGAGGGAAGTGAGAAGGTTTAGGGCAGTGTGGGGAAAGGTGGGCACGCCTTACAAACCTGCAGGAGCACACAGTGGCTCTTGAAAGAGCACAGGGCCCCCAGGCAGGGCATAGACCACTGAGGCCGTGTCCTCCGATCTCACGATCTCGACCCTTTAAGACAGTCTGGTGTCAAGGAGAAGTAAGGAGAAGCGCGTGAAACCACGCTTTGAGCTAGAAAAGCATAAATAGGCTCAAGGAGACCGTAAACCAGACTTGAAGGGACGTGACCTAACCTGACACAGCCTGGCCTGTGGAATGGCCCTGAGCAGACCTGGAAGGCCGGAGTCCAAGTGCCGCCAGGGACCAGAACCCCAGCTCCTCAGAGGGGCCCGGACCAGCCAGGCCCCCTGCTCTGAGGAGCACACCACCGCTTCTGACAACAAACATCCCAGGCACCTGATAACATTCTCCCTCGTGAACCTTTTCATTTCCTGGAGACGGAAGCCAAGGGCAGGTTCTCTGGCTGCTGCAGAAGTTAAACGTGGCGGCCGAGGGGTCAGGGGGCTGCCGGGCAGTGCTGGGACCCCCAGAGACGTCAGGGTCTGCTTCCAGGTCAGAGGTCAGGGTCAACTTCCAGTTCAGAGGTCAGGGTCAACTTCCAGTTCAGAGATTTCGGTCCAGCTACAGGCACACAGGAGACACTTCCCAACAGAGAAAGTGAGGCAGAAACGGGGAAGGAAGTGCAGGGGTTATTTTATTATTCCTGTGTCCAAAAAAAAACAGAAAAGGCGCTTCCCATCCTTGCTATTATCCCTCCAAAGTAAAAAAGAAAAAAAAGAATCACACCGGAACTCCCGAGCAGGTAAGTCATCTCACAGCACTTTGCTGACAGAGGAGGATGTGACAGCTGAACTGGACAAGGGCTGTCATCTGCCCCGACACACACACACACAGACACACACACACACACACACACAGACACACACACACACACACAGACACACACACACAGACAGACACACACACACAAACACACACACAGACACACACACACACAGACACACACACAGAGACACACACACACACACAGACACACACACACACAGAGACACATACACACACATACACACACGGAGCCCCACCAAGAACACATCTATGGAAAGCTGCATAGAAGCAAACTCCACGACTGGAGGAAAGTACACGGAGTCTTCTCCCCACCCCTCCAAGGAAAAGAACTGCCAAAGAACTCTCCAGAACGAAGAGTTGTCAAAAAGATTCACATAGCGAAGTTTCCAGGAGGTTTACGCTTGGCCAGAGGACAAGAGAGTAATTTCCCTGAGCCAAGCAAAGGTTAATAATCAAAGGAGTTCGTTAAGCCCGCCCTGAGCTCAGGCTGCCAGGAGGTTAGTCATAAAGCGCTGGATGGAATCTGCCTACTCAAGCAGTTGGAGGAGGGGCTGGAGAGACAGGAACATCCTCACCCGGGAGCCAGTTTCCTAGAAGACTTCCGGGAGGAGGCTTCCCGGCGGGGCGGGCGCTCGCAAGTCCCCGCCCCCATCCGGAGAGGGTCATCAGTAGGGGGACAAGGCCAGCCTCCCCAGCTGCAGAGTGCTTGATCCCAGTGAGCCTGCAGGCCCATGCACCCCACCGGGCATGCCCACCTGCAAAAGCAGCGTGTGCCAGGGTGACCCCTGGCAGCACAGAGCTGCGCACCGAAGATCAGAGGCTGGCAGGAGCCGCAGAGGTCGGGCCACCGGACCTCAGCCCAGCATGCCTGAGCTTCTAGCCACCCCATGAAGCCACCCCGCGCACCACCCACCAGGCGACACTCACGCCCGCCTCCCCAGAGGTGGGACCACCAAAAGAAGTCCTGCAGACGTTGCCAAATGTCCTCTGGGGGCTAAATGTGCCCCCTCCCCTCGTTCAGCACCACAGATCTTAGCCACACACTTGCATTTTGGAGAGAAATGGAGGTCAGGGGTCACAAAGTGCAAGATACCTCCCAACCCAGAAGACATCCTCTTCCTCAAGGACAGGTGTGGTCCTCAAAGAGGCCACCGACCTGATCCCGGAGAACATGTGCTGACTCCTGGTGCGAGGGCAGAAGACAGCAACTGATCTGGGCAACAGCTTGGAAGCATTTTTAAAGTTTAACTGTGCCCCCACCGTATCTCCCACCCACTCCACCGCTAGGTATTTACCCAAGAGAAACGAACATGCATGCCCACAGGAAGAAGCGTTCGTGAGCATTCACAGCAGCTTATTTGTAAGAACCAAATGCTAGAAACAGCTCAGTCAAGATCCAACAACAGGATAAGCAGTGGTGAGCGCAAACCGTGGAATACGATTCAGCAATAAAAAAAGACCACATGACTGATGCACTCGACTCGGACGGATCTCAAAATCCTGACGCTGAGTGAACAAAGCCGGGTGAAGAAAGGTTCCACCACAGCGTGATTCCATTTCTGCTAAATTCTAGAAAGTGCAAACAAATCCACAGTGACAGACAGGTGATCCATGTGAGCAGATGGGGTGGGGTTGGGGGGGCAGCTGGGGCAATACCTCAGGAGGTGAGAACACCCAACATCTTAGAGGGTGGTTCCAGGGAGGTCTGTCAACATTCCTCAAATGCAAACCTTTTGGTGTGTGCAGTTTCTCTTATAGAAATTGTAGGTCTATAAAGCGGTGGAACAAAAGAAGTGCAGAAAGAGCACTGCAGCTATAAAATTCACCTCTGAGAGTAACTGTTCCATCCCATGGGGGCACACGACCTTACAGGTAAGTCCTGCCCGAGCAGGTGGGGACTCTCAGTAGCAGAACTGCACTCCCCTCCGCACCCCTCCCCCACACACCTGCTGGGAGGATGCCAAGAGGATGGGGGCACGGCCACCACCTGTGCTTCCCACTCCTTCCCCAGCACCCAGGGACCCGGCCCACCGCCCCACCCCAGTCTGCCCTGGCACAGATGGGGAAGCAGGACTAAGCCACGGCTGCAGGCGAGTCTGGCCGAGAACCGAACAAGAATGCAGCTAGCACCCAACGCCCTCGGAAGGGAGGCTGCGGACAGCGCGCACTGGACGGAACTCAGAGAACCGCCGGCCTGGCAAAGGCAACTACTGGACTAGCCCGGGTGAGCCGCCAGCCTCCTGCCCCAGCGCCCGCCTCTCTCTGAAAGAGGGACGGAGCCATCTGAGCCGCTGACCACGCCCGCCGTGGAAGGCAGATCCTGAGTCAAGCCCCACATGGACATCTGGCCCGCTCCCCCACAAACCAGCACTGGACTTGGCTGCTTCCGGCTCCGCAACCTGGCTCTGCGTGACCTCAGGCCAATCACACTGCCTTTTGGGGGCATCAATTCCTCCCTATTAAGTTAATTATAGCTCAGAGGAAAAGCAACTTCTATTGGCACATGTTCAAAATGAACTGCCGACAAAGGTCCGTCTAGTCAAAGCTATGGTTTTTCCAGTAGTCATGTATGGATGTGAGAGTTGGACCTCAAAGAAGGCTGAGTGCTGAAGAATTGATGCTTTCGAACTGTGGTGTTGAGAAGACTCTTGAGAGCCCCTTGGACTTCAAGGAGATCAAACCATTCAATCATAAAGGAAATCAGTCCTGAATGTTCATTGGAAGGACTAATGCTAAAGCTGAAGCTCCAATACTTTGGCCACCTGATACAAAGAGCCAACTCACTGGAAAAGACCCTGATGCTGGGAGAGATTGAGGGCAGGAGAGACGGGGAAAGCAGAGGATGAGATGGTTGGATGGCATCACTGACCCAATGGATATGAGTCTGAGCAAGCTCCGAGAGACAGTGAAGGACAGGGAAGCCTGGAGCGCTGCAGTCCACGTGACTGCAGAGATGGATACGACTCAGCAACTGAGCAACAACAAGAAAATGAACGGCTCACCAGCATATGGATTGTTAAAATGTCACATAATTCGGGTGCCTTAAATTTAAGAGCTATAGTTTCAACCAGCCTGGAATCAAGGTGTCTCAGATCTTGTAAACTCCGATGGAATTTTCATAACCATGCTGTTTGGAATCTCTCCCTCCTCCCGCCTGGGAACTTGTCACCACAGGCTGCCAGCTGGAGCTCCGTGTCCTCCCAGCATGGTCCCTGCCACCAACCATAGCAATGGGATAAAAGCAGGCTGGCAGGTGCGGTGTCCCCTGTACCCACGGTGGGAAGACAGCACTTGCGGGAGACACGCACAGACCACGGGGAACCCCCAGCCCCGTACAGAACTTGGGCGGGTCTGAGAGGTTTCCTTTCTGCATCATTAAAACGTCGCAGAACTTCCCTGAGGTGGTCCAGTGGCTAAGACACTGGACTCTCAATGCAGGGGGCCAGGGCTGAAGCCCTGGCCAGGGAACTAGATCCCACATGCCCCAACTAAGAGTTCGGTGTCACACTAAAGATTCTGTGTGCTGCAAATAAGACCCGGCACAACCTAATTAGTTAAAAAAAACTTTTTTAACTTAAAAAAAAAAATCATAAGGGGAGGGAACAGGCAGTGTTCGTCTGTGAGTCCCAAGTTCGAATCTGGACTCAGCCACCTTTAGGTGCAGATGCATTTGGGGCAAAGCTTTAAACCCCAGGCCTCAGGCTTCTGGCCTATAAAATGGGCGTTTGGACCACCTCTGTCCTAAAGGACACACAGCATGTTAAGTCCTCAACAGGGGGGTCCCCCATGCAATGAACAGGTGGTGCTGGGATGGATTTTATTAAAGAAGGGAAAGAGGAGAAGCCAGGAGGGTGCTCATGAATGTTTCATAGAAATTTCTGGAATCTAGAGCAGGCACGGCTGTCAGGGAGGAATCCGGGCAATGGTGT